TGGTGCATGTTGTCTATCAAAGCACTTTGAAAACCCTTGTTTTAAAAAGTGCTATATACAGAACTTTATTATTATTATTATTATTATTATTATTATTATTATTATTATTATTATAGTATTTAAAACAGTATTAAACTCAATTAAGCGTTGTCCATAGTATTTATTTTATTGCTATTTTATTATTTATATCACCTTTTAACTTTTTTTCTCTTAGAGCTGTGACCATATTAGCTGCTACAAAGAATTTGTTGTATTTTTGCACAATGACAATAAAGCTTCTTCTTCAGTATATCCGGGACAGAGAGGGAGAAACCACAGTCGTGTTAAAAATGAGCATAAGAAACGAACTCGCATTACATTGTTGAAATACTGGTCATTAAATACTGAAAATGTGAGTTTTAACATCAGCAGTAGAATCATTAATAAGTGGGACTAGAGATCAGTCTGATATAATCAGTCTCTGCTGCCCCTCTGCGGTCGTGTCCCTCCACTGCACCCCTCCTACTGAACCGAAGTGGTATCGCCCATTCATGAATTCAACATGGAGGCGCTGCGGCGGTGAACTCATTGTTGTGAAATGTTGAATTAGGAGGCGATATGACCATTGATAGAGTTCTCTGAAGGAATTCATGAAGTGATCTGCAGGAAACCCAAGCTTTCGGCTGCTTCTATCCTCCAGTTGCGGTGTTTTTTTTAGTTGTTTTTGTGCACGAGTTGTCTGCGCTGCCGGTGTTAACTGGGCGCCTTCTGAGGTGATTTGTGATTTAATGTGATCTTTGCTGGCACCGGATGGAGCCCCGGCAGGTCACCGGGGTGTACAGGGAGCTCAGCGGGCTCCACACGCTTGTTTGGGCTCATGTGAGTGAGGAGCAGCTGCCGGAAGTCCGGATCTACACGGTGACAGCAGGTGAGCTAGCTGCTGCTAACAGCTAACAGTCACTGTCACTGACTGAGGGCTGCTTTATGAATCACAGCTGAGGAGGGTCTCACCGTCAGCGGCTTTATTTTTACTGCATGGAGCTGAAGGAGGAACAAACCCAACAATCTGAAACTCACCAGCGAAGGTTAATGTTGAACTAAACCCCTGCTACAAATGGGGAACAAACATGCCAATGTATTCAAACCCTCCTATTAAAGTAGAAAAACAGCTGAAATAAGTTGAAAGTGACAAAAGTAGTAATAAATAAAAATGTTATGAAAATGAATGAATTGCGGTTCAACAGAAATATATGAAGAGTTCATTTGCAAAAACAGATAACTCCACCTTCACAAACCTTCAGAAAACCCACTTCTCCATCATCTACCTGAGACAATATCAATCAAACTTCAGTTATCTCTATTTTTGTAATTTGTACTGAGTCAAATCCACTCAACTCCAGTTTGATTGATATTATCTCAAGCAAAGAACAAAAAAAAAAAAAGTTTTCTGAAAATCTACAAAAAGAGAGTTATTTGTTTTTGCAAATGAACTCTTTTTTTTAAAAACAACAATCAAACAAGCATGATGGGATAAAGTAATATTTAGTTGAACAACCCTTTGAGCCCATCACTGCCATCATCAGGTGTTTTCTGTAACTCTCAGTCAGACGTCTGCACCTGTCGACAGGTGTTTGGATTTCACTGCTCATCAGCAAAGTGCTCTAATTTGTTCAAGACATTTTTTTAAAAAAATCATTCTTTTCAACGACAATTCAAAAGCAGCATTTTAAATGTACAAACAATTAACCCCACTGAGGGTCAATCAAGGTGATCAGATGTCCTGCCTTGTAGCTGTTGGAGTCTTAAATTCAAGTCAACTTACCAATAGCTTCTAACATCAAAGACATGGAACATTAAAAGCAGACTAAAGCTCCAATCCTAAGACTTAGTAAAGATCCCCAGAGTTGAAAAGACACAATATGACAAATATTCCAGTAAAGTTCTGCTTTGGCGCTACAGGAAAGGCCATGGGGTCACAAGTACCTAAGCTGTTCTGGACTGAAAACAGAGATCACAGTGAGAGTAGTTGATATGAATATCCACAGCAAAGCCAGACACAGGTCAAGCTGTTTATATGGCAACATGAAGACTTGAGCTGAAAGTGATCAAAGGTCAAGGTAGCCAACATTATCTAGTGGGGATGTTGAATATTTACATCCAGACATCTTCTATCAGCAGGTGAATTATGCAGAAAATAAAAACTTGCATGTCAACCAGCCAGAATTAGAAAACAACGTACTGACTCTGAGGGCAGAAACTCCAGCAGGTGTTTGGACTTCGTGAGACCCTGCGAGTCAAAGACGCTCCACCGCTGACCCCAGTGATCTAGACTTAAGGGTTTAAACAGGTTTACAGCATAAACCCATCTGTCTCAGGGGGGATACCAGCCATCCAACTGCTATTGGTTAATTTAATAACTGGATTGTGGGTTCAGACAGGGACACCACTCACTACTACTGTAGAGGCTGCTGACATGGGAGCTGGAGGATTGATTCTGGGTTTCTGAAACTGACACAACATTGATATTTGAGTCTGACAGCCATATATTGGGAAGTGCTAATTATCTGTGATAATCTGTGATTATCTAATATCTTTCTTCTTATTAACAATTTTCGTCAACATCCCCAGTACATGTGCACGGTGTACAAGAGTTTGACTCTTGAACTTGTGTGTCTGATAATGCATTAGATAACTGAGCTTATTTACCTCCTCAGTATTAAACCGTTAAACCGTTCTCTGTGTCCACATCCAGAGTGGGGTCAGACCGACATGGTCCGAGGAGCCAGAATTCGCTTCTCTCAGCAGTGGACTGTGATCGCAGACAGCAACAACCACAAGAGCATCAGGACAGTCCTCCCACCAGGAGTATGTCTGCCCATATCTGGAGAGTGAGTTGTAGCATCATGTCACAACACTGGCAATGTCTAATTTGTGTCAGAAAACATTGAATACTTAACCCCATAAAAAATCTACTTGCAGTTTTGCTGCTTCACCCTCAGTGAAAGGTGCCCACAGGTTTCAAAGGTGTGATATCTTACTGCCAAAATTACACAATTTTTCAGAATCAGAAACTGTAAAAACTGAAAGAATGATTGGATTTTCTACTTTTGAGAGAACATGTAACGACTCAGCTTTGATGTTCCAACAGGAAAAGTAATCAAATCTACGCTTAATGTGCAGCAGCATGCTGTTTATTACTTCTGTGCTATGACACACTAGATATTAAACTGCATACTTGCATGATATGTTCTTAGGAAAAAGCACATTTTATACTTATAGTGTTACTACTTATGTTTACATTTTTAGGACATATCTTTGTACTTATGTTTATCTATATGTTTTGTACTGTTTATTTCTAAGACTTTGAATGGGAGCAGCTGGAACAGAAGTCATTTCCTCTCTTGGATCAACAGATTATTTCTGATTCTGATTCTGAAATGTGTGGTATTTCATCAAAATTACTCTACATGTCTCATTTAAAAAATTGCTAAAAAAAAATATACCATTTGCTCGAACCAGATACTGTAAAAAACGTAAAATTTTGACGTCCTCAGTGCAACCTTTAAGCCACTGATGACTGAGTTGTGACCAACAATCACGGAATAAAAATTCTGAGACTTTTCAGTATTAAAATATGTAATATGTACAGTCACATTTTTATTTTTTATTTTTTTTACCAGGGACTTGGAATACAAATATACAACATATTTACAGCTTTTTGTAAAAGAAACAATAAAAAATCAACTTGTTCATGACATCATAACTTTGATATACTGCACAAAAGACACATCTGATGTCTGTTTCCATGGAGATGCAGGACTTCATGTAGTAGTGAAAAATGAGCAGAGAGTAAAAATGTGACGGGAACAAAAAATGCACAGAAAGAGTTCTGCGGGTTAAAGACCAACTTAACAGCTGCTGAAAACCTTCAAGTGGCTTTTTATCTCACAGCAAACACTGATTTTCACCCTGTCCTCTTTTAACATTTATTTCTGCTCCTCAGGTTGTTGAGTAGTCGCTCTCCTGTTCAGAACCTCAGGGCTGTTGTCAGGGACATAAGTGGACACCATCTCCTGGAGGTAAAAACAAAACGTGGGCCGTAAAATCCTCTGTGAGTTCAGTGTTCAGGCTTGTTTGACCGACTGTTGCTTGTGGTTGTTGCTGTTTAGATTTGGGACCGCCAAGGCCTCACAAAATGCCTCAACCTGACTGCCCTCGACAAACACGGCAGAGTGTATGAAGACGGTGAGACGATGCTGCGTATTTTCATTTTTATATGCCAACTCAGCAAAAAAGTCAAATCTGATGTATCGCCACTCAAAATTTGCTTCTATATTGTTGCGTATTCATGCGTTTCTGTATGTAAATAACACTTATTGGTGTGTCTTTCAGCTCAGTTTGGCTGTTTGTCGTGGTCGAGGTGTGAGAACAAGCTGCTGTACATAGCAGAGAAGAGCAGGAACACATCAGAGGACACTCAGGAATCTGCATACATGAAGGTATCACAAGACAAAAACAGGAAATTACATTCACAACAAATCATACAAGAAAGTGTTTGTGTCTTTAATTGTCCTTGTGTGTGTCATTGTGTCCAATCAGGACAGGAATGTGTACTGTGAGGACTGGGGTGAGGCTCTGACCAATAAGAGCGTCCCGGTGATTTGTGCGGTGGATTTGCAGAACGGCACAGTCGCTGTGCTGCAGGGTGTCCCAGCCGACGTCTCCCCTGGACAGGTGAGGACGGAGAATCAGTCACATTCTTCATCATCTGACAATAACTATATTGACTGCGCTGTATGAAGGCTAAGTGTGGCGTGGGTTATACATGGTGGATAGATGTTGTTTCTACATGTGACATTTTGTGCGTATTTTTTCCTCCAGGCTCTGTGGGCTCCCGGCAGTCAGTCAGTGTTTTTCATCGGTTGGTACCATGAACCCTTCAGACTCGGACTGAAGTTCTGCTCCAACCGCAGGTGATAGAGCTACGACATTTTCTGACTCCACCTGAGAAAGCATGAAAAACAGCAGCAGCAGCTTAACCCTCTGAATCCCAAAGTTAGCTGGTGGGTTTGAAAGGCATGTTAGCTGTTACAGAAAATGCAGAAACTACACCAGTTATCAGAGCAAGACACTAAAAACAGCAAGAATCTGTGGATTTTCCAGCAGTTTTAAACTAATCATCTCTGACTTAAGGGCTGCAAGTTGGCTCGGTGGTTAGCACTGTTGCCTCGTAGCAAGGAGATCGCCGGTTCGCGTCCCGGTGAGGATCTTTCTGTGTGGAGTTTCCATGTTCTCCCCGTGCAGCGTGGGTTCTGTCCGGGTTCTCCAGCTTCCTCCCACACAGTCCAGAAACATGTTGAGGTTAATTGGTGATTCTAAATTGTCCGTAGTTGTGAATGTGAGTGTGCTTGGTTGTCTGTCTCTAAGTGTAGCCCTGTGATAGACTGGTGACCTGTCCAGGGTGTCCCCTGCCTTCACCCTGAGTCAGCTGGGATAGACTCCAGCCCCCCATGACCCTAGTGAGGATTAAGGTGTATAGATGATGGATGGATGGATCTCTGACTTTAGGTTTCAATAGGAAAAACAACCAAATCTAAGCTAAAAATTGTAATATTTCATCAAAATCACTGAATAATACATGTCTCATTTAATACTTTGCCAAAGATAAATATTTTGCAGAAACACAATTCTGTAAAAAACTAAAGATTCTGTGAACTTCAGTGCAACAGGGAAGCCAGTCATGACTCTGATGTGACCAACAGTCACATGATGAAAATTCAGGGACTTTTCCAGCTGAACTGCAAACTGGTTACACAGAACAAATATGAAACAAACTGGCACAAATTAAAGATGTGGAGCCACCATTTCTCCACTGTTGGTAACATCTGCTGTACATGTTGAGTCCAGATTTTTTCAAGAGATTAAACTTCGGTTTATCTTTTTATTGCCCTACAACTTGTTATACTGCATAAAAGATATTTGTTAGTTTTATCTACTTGAAGTCATGGTTGTGTTGTTTCCATCGCAGTGCAGGACTTTATATTGCAGTACAAAAATTAGCCCACAGCGAGGGAAGAACAGGAGCAGATAAACGTTCAGTTAATGTGACAAAGTGAGTAAAAATGTCCAGTAGCTGCTTTGGTTTAAGAGGCTTAAGCAGTGAAGTCGACAGAATTATACTGAATTGAAAGTGAACAGGAAATGATTTCAAGAAACAGTTGTGACTGAACAGAAAAAGCAGAAATTACATTTAACTTTGTTAACATTTTAGGAACCAAGACCAAAATGGAAATATACTGTTTGCCTCCTCACTTACTTTGTGTTTCTGTCTTTCTTAATTTTTTTTTCAGATCAGCTTTGTTCAGACTCGACCTGGAAGGACACTGTGGTGAGAACGTGACCTCTTTTTATTTGTCGATGCATCCAGCTTGCACCTCTTTGCTCTGCTCACCTGCTCCCTGCACATCTTCCTCCTTCCCAACCAGAGCGTCTGTCTGGAGACAACCTGTCGGTGTCGTGTCCCAGGCTGAGTCCAGACGGGTCCACGCTGATCTACCTGCAGGGCGGAGTGTTCGGGCCTCACAGCCAGTGCCTCAGTGTGCAGCAGGTGCTGTATGAGTGTGTGTTGTTGTGTGTGTGTGTCTGCATGTGTTTCTTTAGCTAACAGTTGATTCTCCTCCACAGCTGGACCTGAGCAGCGGGAAGACGTCCACACTGCTGGATGTTGTCAACAGACCTCAGAACGGTGGGTGACAGTTTCCAGTGAATCAAACATCTGTTGTATGAATTTCTAAGACATTTGGTCCAGATATTCTTGCTCCCCTCTGGATGAAGTGGAACAACTTTTCTGACCCAACGAATGCCGCCACCAGGCCAAAAACTCCATTTGTTTGACAAAATACAGCTGCAAAACCCTGTCAGCTGGGCTTTGTCAGTTCTTGAAAGAAAAAACAAACAGTAGAAGCAAGTTCAAGTCTGTCCACATTCTGTGTTTCAGGTGGGTTTGCAGGAGTGTATGAAGCTCTGCCGTCCTGCTGCTGGTCTGCAGACAGTCAGAGAGTTGTGTTCAGCAGCGCCCGCAGGAACTGGAAGGTAACACACACATACATACTAAACACATACACAACAGTACATACATATGTTTATCATGGCAGTCTTGAGGTTTCAGTAACTCCTGTAGTTCTGACTTTACTGTGATGGAATCATTGAAACACGTGTTTTTCACAAAAACAGTCTTTCATAGATTTATTATAGGCATCCTCGATATATGACCAAATCTTCTGGGTCAAAAATATACACGCATGCCGCTATAGCTCACCTGGTTGAGCTGGCGACCCATGTACAGGGTCTACAGTCCCAGATGCAGTGGTTATGGGTTCAAATCCCGCTCATGGCCCTTTGCTGCAAGTCCTTTCCCTATTCTTCTCCCCCACTTTCCTGTCTCTCTCTTCACTGTCCTATATAATAAAGGCAAAAAAGGCCAAAAAATAACTTTAAAAAATATACACACATGCAATTTTAATATTTTGTTAAACGTCCTTTGACCATTTCACCTCAACTAGGCGCTGTTGGTAGCCGTCCACATGCTTCTGGATGTATCTTTGACTCGTCTCTTCAGCACATTCCTCAGTATTTTGATGTGGTTTAAACCAGGAGTCTGGGGAGACCAGTCTAAAACCTTAATTCTAGCCTGATTTAACCATGCCTTTACCACTTTTAAAGTGTGTTTTGGGTCATTGTTTTGCACGTCCAACTGCATCCAAGACCAACCTTCTGGCTGATGATTTTAGGTTTTCCTAGAATGTGGAGCTAATCCTGCATACAGTGACTTCCACAGTCGCTAGAGAGGCTGAGGATGGCTTCTCTCTGACTGTATGACTCGCTGTCGCTTCCAAAATAATGCACCAAAATTGGATGTGTTTCTCTCCTTTTTATTAAAAGTGATCTGTGATTTACAGGCATTACACAGTACTGGGCAAGATGTAGGCTACGGTAAACTTGTCAACAACAACAACAACAAAAGACACTATATGATGCTTCGCGTTAGTCACTCAAGCATGGCGGTCAACAGAAATGACGGCCACCCAGCCCTCCTCTCTCTGGTAAAACCACCGCGTGACTGACTGTCAGCCCTTTGACAGCTCAACCTGTCACCAACTACACCCACATGACCCATGCTCCACGTCACCATGACAACCAAATAAAGCAAACTATTAACCCAGTGATCAATACTCAAAAACAGCATTTGTGGCTCCTGCACTCCGTCTGCTCGTGTTACTTTCTGATCGTGACAGTGACAGAACTTTATAGTTACAATGGTTTGCACAGATGATTTTGGGGTCTGTAGCTGCTCTGAAATGGCTCCAAGTGACTTGTTGAAGTCAATGATTTGCTTTTTCAGATCCACTGCAGTGTTTGTGACTCTAATGCATGCATCAAATGGGTCCAATTTGAATTGGCTCATAGGAGTCAGCAGCTGTAATGACTCACAAGAAGCTAAGAGGCCACCAGCAAAACTTGATTAACACAGCTTTCTATATCATGTATATATATTTTTGACCCAATAGATGGTTGTACTTTTAGAGGACCTGTAACATATATTTTTAGAAGAACCAAAATGCTTGATTGTTGTGTTTTTGTGTGAAAAAGAAACATGTGTTTTAGTGGTTCCTTCATAGAAAATGGAAAGTTACAGCAGCTATTAGAAACTCAAGACATGATGATATTCATGGTCTTTAAAAATGTATGTAAACGTTTGTTCATAACTGGACAGCTGACATTATTCTGCTAGTTTCTACACAGCAATATAACAAACTAGTTAAATGTTCTTATAAAAGGTTGTGTTTGTGTCATCACAAACACTCACACTCCTCCATGTCTTCCCTCTTCACTCCTTTCTTGTCTCTCTCAGGATCTCTTCCTGGTGGACAGAAGATCAAAGAAAGTCTCCTCCCTCTCTGATAGTAAGACTCCATCCTCTCCTCCTCCTCCTCCTCCACCTCCTCCTCCGCCTCCTCCATCTCTGTCCTCATCTCCATCTCTTCTCTTCCCTCCTCCTCCCACTCCCCTCTCTCATCCTCCCCTCTCTCCTCTGTTCCCTCTTCCACCGACTCCTTGTTGGTCCTCCCATCCTCCCCCATCTCCTCCTCCCCTGTCTCCTCCTCTTCCTCCCACTCCCCTATCCCCTCTTCTTCCACCTCCTCCTTCTCCTTTGTTCCCTCCGACTGCAGTTCCTCCCCTTCCTGCTGAGACTCACTTTCCCCTTCCTCCACCTCCTCTTCCTCCTAATCCTTCTCCCCTCGCCCCTCCTCCTCCTCCTCCTCCTCCTCCTCCATCATCTTATCTTCATCAGGAGCTCAAGAGAGAGCTGGAAGGTATGACAAAACCAACAGACGTTAAATCAATGCTACCAACATCTCACTGAGAAATACCACAAGGAAAATCAAATGGGAGTTGCAGAAACACAATAGCAGCAAGCAAAGAACACCAACCTCGTTATTAGTATAAGTCCAGCCCAGATAATTGAACAATCATATATCATCAGCCTCGGCACAATTTAATATAACCATAAACTTTTCAAACTCCATGAAGCTAGACCTTTATCTCCCTATTTGTTTCCTCTCTGTTGTTTCTCTACCAGTTTCTGTCTCTCTGTCGTCACTTCATTATTCATTTTTCTGTCTCGTTGCTTCTCTTCTGCAGATCTCTCTGATCCTTCCCAGGTTTATGGCAGCTGGAAGCTGCTGACAGTCCAGAGAGACCTGATGGTCGTCTCCTGTTCCAGCCCGAACACACCTCCCACTCTGGTCTCAGACACACACACACACACAGGCATTAATAGACACAACATTTAAAACATCGTTAACCCTCTGAAACCCAAAACCTGCCAGAAGGTTTGACAGGCATGTTAGTTTTCAAAAAAGTCGCCAATTTTCAACATTTATCAGAACCAGAAACTGTAAGAACAGCAAGAATCATCAGATTTTTAACTTTATGATTGACTGTGAAATAATCTTTGATGTGATGTTTAATCTGGAAAGTTATCCAAAGCTAAGTTGAAAATTGTAAATTTAATCAAAATCACTTTATTCTACACGTCTCAGTTAAACAAATGCCAAAAGTAAATCGTTTGCTCTCACCAGATTCTGTAAAAAAGCTAAAACTTCTGTGCTGCTCAACACAACTGTGAAGCAATCAGTGACTTTACTGCAACCAACAGTCATGTGACAAAATTCTGGGACTTCTCAGCTGAACTGGGCTCAACTGCAGGTTGTCTTTACACAGAAGCAGATAATAGACAAGTATGAAAACAAACTTAAGATGTATGTAGACAGACTTTTTTTTTACAGAACTGGCAGAACCTGTAGGCACTTGGAAAAATGTACATATTAATTGCAGTCTGTTTCAGTTTTCTGTAAAATAGACAATCAAGGAAATGTAGTTTTTCCTTTTTTTTATGATTTATGACATTATAACAGTTTCATACAACACAAAATGCATTTTTGACATCTCTCTACTTCTAGTCATGGTTGTTCTGTTTCCATTGAGGTGCAGGAACTTTACATAGCAGTGTAAAATGAGACCAGAGTGAGTAAAAATGTGACAGGAGCCAACAATGCCCAGAAATTGCTGGAGGTTCAGAGGGTTAAAATACAGTTTAATGCATTTGTTGACAAGATCAGTTAGAGAAACAACATGTGAATACCTTTTTTACCTGTTTTGTTCTTCACGTGTGTGATCACAGAGGATAGGATTCCTCCCATCATCAGATGAGGCTGTAACCTGGCGAACTCTGCAGCAGCCTCTCAAGACCTTTGACTTCCAGTGGTCAGTGTTAGATGTTACACCTCCACCAGAGGAGGACAACACGTACTACTGTGAGCTTTCAGTCTCTCCTTCAATGTAAAAGTTATTCCGTTTTTATCCTCTGTTCTTCTTAGTTTCCCTTTCTGTTATCTCTTTCAGCTGGTTTAGACTTCGGGGCCGTCTTGGTCAAACCGTCTCGTCCCCTTCGTGAGACCAGGATACCTCTGGTCGTCTACATTCACGGTCTGTGCTCACTTGGATGTTGTGTGTTGTTGCTGTATTTTTGCATACAGAATGCGACCATATTAAAATGTTGTATGCTTCCTGGTATCATGGTTTTGTTTGCTCCACTAGGTGGCCCTCACTCCCAGTTCCCTGCAGAGTGGAACTGCACCACAGCTGGACTGGCTAAACTCGGCTTCGCTGTGCTCATGGGTTTGTCTCCTTCTTTTTACCACTTTGAAAAATCCACCTATTTGCTTTATTGCAGCAGTATATGAGAGGGTTAACATCTGTGGTGTGTTGGTCCTTCTTCATGTCAAAGTGAGGTTGCCAGAGAACGAATGGAAACTCCAGGAGACATAATGTGGTAATTAACAAACTGCTGAGGTGCTGGTCGGCAGATTCTGTTAGCTTTGGACAGAGTCAGAAAGTATTTTTGTCCTGTCTCCTGTATTTAAACTAAGCTAAGCTAACAGTGTCTTGGCTGCACCGGCATACAAGCTTAGCGATTTTTATCGTAGACTGTATAATTTTGGTGATGGTACAGCAGCAAAACAGAACAATTTATTAGAGCAAAAAAAAAAAAAAACTGTAACGTCAGATTTTCAACTTCTCAAAGGTCCTTAAACTACATGTATGTAGCGTGCCATTTCATCCAAAAGCGCATCTAAATCTAAACTTACAATCATGACATGTCTTCAAAATCACTCTATTCTACAGACGTCATTTTAAATTTTGCCAAAAGTAAACCGTTCACACCGGATGATGTGAAAAACAAAAGGTTCTGCATGTAGAGTCTGTATTTTTTTAATCCAGTATTGGTAACGCTTGCAGGCACTTTGAAGAATATTCTATAGGCTGATTTTAGTTTTTTTCATTTTTTTTTCTTTTAAAATGTACTTAAAAAAAAATAAAAAAAATGGCATTGTAACTGTGTCATACTGCAGAAAATATATTTTTGAATTCCACTTCTTTCTATCAATGGTTGGGCTGTTTCCATATAGATGCAGGATTTTATATTGCAACTTAAAATGTTTCCATATTGAGCAAAACTGTGAGCAAAAATCACTCAGAAGCTGCTTGAGGTTCATGGAGTTAAAACAATGTGCATCTTTAAAGTCAATTAAAGTTTTTTAGCAAACAAAGCTAAAACAGTGACATTTGACTTTTACTTTGGGGGTTAATGTCTCAAGTCTTCGACCTTTTCTCTGCTGATTTAGCTCCTGTCTTCATTTCTGTGTCTATTATCTGTTATCTAGTGAACTACCGGGGATCCACAGGGTTCGGCCAGGACAGCATCCTGTCCCTGATTGGTCAGATCGGGAGCCAGGATGTAAAAGACGTGCAGGTACTGGTTCTGTGTCCCTCTGATCTTTCGTCCTGGATAGAGAGACGTTGGCAACAAACCTCCAAAATGTAATAATGACACACAATATATTGATAAAAGCAACACAGCGAGCAGAAAAATGACTAATTGATCCATTAACAGGTCAAAGTCTCTGGAAATGTGAGAAAATGATTTGATCTGATTCGTTGTCTTTACCCAGAGGGCTGTTCTCACTGCGCTGCGGAGCGACGCGACTCTTGACCCCCAACGCCTGGCTGTGATTGGCGGCTCTCACGGTGGTTTCCTGTGCTGTCATCTGATTGGTCAATACCCAGACATCTACAAAGCGTGTGCAGCCAGGAACCCGGTCATTAATGCCGCTACGTTACTGGGAACCAGCGACATAGTGGACTGGTGAGACACGTGCAGATACACTACAACTCATCCACACACAGAGCTTTTGCTCCACTGCAGTTTATAATGTGAATCTTCTTTTCTCTGTCTGTCTCCAGGCGTTACAACAGCGCAGGCTTTCAGTACTCATACGACCAGATACCTACTGCCGAAGCTCTGGCTGCCATGTTACAGAAGTCCCCCATCTCACATGTTGCTCAGGTCAGACACACAAACACACTTCGGCTTCCATCTGCCAATCAAAATGTAAATACAATCAACATATTAGATCAGAAGTTACATCTATTCTGCATCTTACAAAGCTGCCGTTAACCATCTGAACCCCAAAACCCACCAGCAGATTTAAAAGTTACATTTATTTATTTTAAATTTTGCTAAACTACACCAGTTATCAGATCAGGAAACTGTAAAAACTCACGGTTCTTGAACTCGTCGCATGTGACTTTTGGTTTCATCTGAAAAATGAAACAAATCGAAGCTTAAAATTGAGATATTTTATCAAAATTACTGTGTTTAACCGGTCTCAATTAAAAAAAAAAAAAAAAAAAAAGTTAAAAATGAACCACATGCACTAGTTGGATTCTGTAAAAGCAAAAAAAAAAACCAAAGTGCTCCTCGTCGCACCTGAAAAGCTATGAGTGATTTGGCTCTGACTAACAGCCGCATGTAAAAATTTCAGCAACTTTTAGGCTACACAGAAGAGATACGTATAAGATAATTATAGAGACATATTAAAACTGTGAGCGCATTTTACAGCCATCATTTTTTCCAGAGTTGATAAACCTGTGGTCACGCTGCAGATGTCACGTTCAAAATCTAATAGAATTTGCTTCTGTAAATATGCTAATGTTGGTTTAATGGAAACAGGAACCTACAGAATGAGAATCTTAAAACGATCACAGGACATCGTTAAGTGTCTGTTGCTACATTGTGTTTACAGTGTTGTCTGATTGTGTGCAGATCAGGGCTCCAGTGCTGCTGATGTTGGGAGGCAGAGACAGAAGAGTTTCTCCTCACCAGGGTCTGGAGCTTTATAAAGCGCTGAAGGCCAGAGGTTCACCTGTCAGGTACAACAGAGAATATCAGATAAACCAAATAAATAAACTCCAGTAATAGAAACAAGCAGAGGCAGACATTAGTGATATTCTGTCTGCTCCTGACTTGTCTTCAACAATAAATGATTATCATATCAGGACTAATAATTGTGATTACCAAAGCTGATTCTCGTCCTGCCTGTCATTTTGTCTTTTCCCAGGTTGCTGTGGTTTCCAGACGACGGACACTCTCTGTCCAGAGTGGACACGCTGGCCGACTGCTTCCTCAGCACTGTGCTGTGGCTGCACGAGCATCTCTGAACACGAACGCACACACACTGTGATGAAGCTGTGCCGGAGCTGAGGGCTGCACTACGAAGCCAGATTAATTAATTAATTAATGAGGTACGTTGAGCCTAAAACCAAACCTTATACCTGCTGAGCTCTACGTTAGTGACGCCACTGATTGAAGCCGTGCAGGTACAGCAGGCAGACTGTATGCGTTGCCACGGGAACCTACACATACATGTATTCAGCTAATCATGCTAAAAATGCATAAATATGTTTTTATGCTTGGAGCTGCTGATGGAACACGGATTAGAAAATTGATGAGTCGACTGGTATTTATCAGAGAATATTCAGTCAGAAGCTTTAATTTCACTTTGATTTGGCCAAAAAGTAAAGTGATATACTTCATGATGAGACAGTGTCAGACCTAAATGCACTTCTTCAGAATCGTTTTTAATTGTATGAAGTTTAAATTTTCACAGCTGTCTTGTGGCTTCATAGTGCATCCCTCAGTTCTGCTGCTGCTAAAAAGAGGACACAATCACAGTTGAGACACACCACTGCCTTTTTAATAACAAATGTACCTAATTTTGTAAGAAAAATATCAGAGCATGCAATAAAGAAAACCTTGGAAACCAGTCGGTAATGTCTAGATTTTGTCATTTTTGTACATTCAATGCTACATTTATACATTTAACTGCACTTAACTGTATTTATTATGATTTCAAAGCTCATCCATCCATCTGCAAGCTTAACTTTAAGGCTGTTAAGTCATTTGTCTACAGATCAGACGGATCATTTACAGTAAATGCAATTCATACAAGCGTCCAGCAGGTGGCAGTCTGTGTCTGCTGTAGCTGTGTAACTGCTTTTAAAGCACATTTATGCTACTACAATGAAATATCTAATCATAGCAGCTTCAGGATGTGTTTGTACACATGGCTATTAAGTACCTCACATTCACACGGATGCAAGAGTCCAAATGCAGCTGAACATTAAAACGAGTAGCTTGTTTCGCACAGGTGGTCGTATCATCAACTGCTTTCAACCCAACAAAAGGAAGAAAAAAAAGAAAATCAAAGAGACCCAGAACTTCTAAGCGTTACTTGACATCTGAAGCCTTGTAACCACACGGACCTACTGCGGAGCTGCAAACCAGCCGAAACCTAATCTGGAGCCTTTAAACGAGGCTCTTGACCACCTTCCTCATCATGGGGCTGCCTGAACAAATAGTCTACTGTAATTCTGACCTTTAAGCTGCATCAAGAGGTTCAAGAACATGATCCAAGAGAGCAATCTGTTTGAAATTTCTTATCAACAACAAGAGGAAAAACATAAAACGTGTATCTGGTAGAGCGGTGTGAACGGTTACTTGTTTACTTTGTCTTTGCTCCGTTTGGCGCTGGGCAGCTCTTTTTCAGTTCTCATGAGCTTCCCACAAAACCTAAAGTCAACATTACAGATGTTAATTGTCTTCCACTCAGCAAACCAACCTCTGTAAAGCTTTATTTTTTCGCAAACAAACCCTGTGTTTTTCTCGACGAGGATAAGAGGTGCGCTGACACAGCTGCCTCGGTGGCCTTGTTGAGACTCGCTAAGCGGCCTTGAACCGGTGTTTCCCAGACAACACGAGCGATACTGGCAGCGAATGACATTCACAGATGCAGATTTTCAAAGATTAAGTGCCCAGAATGAGACACGGAGGTGGTTGATATCTTCCAGAAGTCTCACACCGGCGTCCCAGACACAGTGGCGGTGTTAATTGTCCTCCCCACCAACACTTCTGCGCTGCGGCCTTGACTGCAGCTGCCGCCTGATGAAGTCACCGTGATGTGGGTGTTGGGTGAGATCACCAGTTTGAGGAGGATGGATGGATGGAGGGAGAAAAAGATGGAGGCAGCGCTGACGAGGAAGTGACAGATAAAGAAAAGAGGAGCGAGACAGAGGCGGCCCGGTGGTTGAGACAATGAATGAAGCCGAAATAGAGGGAGAAGTTCACGGCGCCCCTCTGTGGTATTCTGGTGTGTGGGCCGGGCCACAGAGATGAAGCATTGTTGAAAGCTGGAGACAGGGGAAAGACTCATGCTCACGCTGGGTGTACGTAGGAGGTGGACAGACAAAGGGAGGAAAGAGCGAAAGTGTGTTTTCTGACGCTGGCGGACAAAGGGCCTTTTTGGTTTTGGTTTGTTCTGGTGCTTCCCCTCTCGAGCAGGCTGCAAAGGAAAAGGGAGTGAAGCAGAACACAGCACAGTAGAAGATGTGAAAAAAAGAAGCTCAGCTGAATAGAGCAGGGGAGAGCCATGTCAGGTTGGATTGTCGGCGTTATGAGTAAAGGCTTCATCTTCTTAGGAGCGCGAGGGTGGTGAGAAGGAAGCTTATAGAGCATGCAACAAATTCAATTTAATCTTGTGCACAAGTCCAACTAGAGGTATCACTAACATTCATTCTTAGCAGCAACATTTAAAGAACCTGCCTGATTTTGTTAAGACCCCTGAAGTATCAAGACCTCTGAAGGTGTCCTGTTGCTTCAGCAGCAGAACCTTCAAGTCTTCAAGAAGTTCCGTGATGGGTGTCTCCATGAGTCTTTTTACAGCATGTTCGGATTGAGTTCTGGGGAATTTTGGAGGCAAAGTCAACGCCTCGAACTCTTGGTCATGTTCCTCAACAATGTTTGCAGTGTGGCAGGAAGTATTATAGAACCCACTGTGATCAGGGAATACAGCTGCCATGAAGGGGCGAACTTGGTCAGCAGCAATGTTTAGAAAAATGGTATGTGTCGGGGCGCCGCTATAGCTCATCTAGTTGAGCTGGCGTCCCATGTATAGGGGCTACAATCCCCAACGCAGCGGTCATGGGTTTAAGTCCTGCTCATGACCCTTTGCTGCAGGTCCTTCCCCCATTCTTCTCCCCCCACTTTCTTGTCCTATCTAATAAAGCCAAAAAAAAAGGCCAACAGGAAGACGGTATGTGTCAAAGTAACGTCCACATCAATGCAGGAACAAAGGTTTCCTTCCACCCAAAGTGCATCCTGCTGCCATTTCTTCCCTCTCGCACATGCCCAGCTGTCCACAGGATGTAAAGAAAATGGGATTCATGAAACCAGTCCACCATCCTACATTTCTCCAGTTGTGGTCCATTGGAGGTCATTCCAACAGTGGACAGGTTTCACTATGGACACTGTGGTTCGGTTTTCAGCAGTGTGTGGTTCAGTAGTTCCTCTGTGAGATCAGACACATGGTCCAGCCTTCATTCCCAGTGTGCATCCATGAGCCTGTCACTGGTTGTCCTTTCTTAGACACTTTTGGAAGGTACCATACCTCAAAACTCCTACAAGACCTGTTGTTGTGTGGGGATGCTCTGACCCAGTCGTCCAGCCATCACAATCTGGTCCTCGTCAAAGTCACTGAGATTATTACGCATTCTCATTTCTTCCTGCTTCCAACACAATACAAATATATCCTACCTCTTGACAGGTGCCACTGTAACAAGAAACTCTATGTTTTTCACCTCACCTGTCAGTGGTTTTAATGTCGTGGCTGATTCGTTGTATACTTCTTGAATTAAAGGAATAATCTGACAGCTAACAATAATGCCAGCAGCCATTTAGCTTAGCACAATGACTGGAAACAAATGGAGACAACTAGCTGGTCTTGCCAAAGCAAACAAAATCTGAATACCGGCCCCTCTAAAAGACTAGGGAACACATGATGCACTTGTTGTGCTTAATCCTTATATATTTAAAGGGAGTAGTACTTCATATCTCTTCTAGTAGAAATATGTGGCTGTTTATTTAAGCGTGAGTGGATTTGTCTCAATTTGAAGAATCAGAATCACATTTTAAGTAAAATTTATTGTGTGTAAAGAAGGTTCTTTGTGCTGGTGGGTGTACCTGACTGGGCTTTACTTCTTATTGCCAGAGGAAATGGGCCGAAAGACCGCTTTGACTGAAGTTCAATGCTACGGTGCATTAGTTTCTGAATGTGCTTTATTGCCAAAAGAATAAAGAGGAAAAAAAATCTGCTAGACTGGAATGGGTTGACAATGGATTTGGACCAGCTTTGACATTTTATTTTTTTTTACTGGCAGCGATTGGTTGTTCCGTCATCCATTTCCTGGTTGGCAAATGTAAAAAAAAAAAAATCGAATTTACAAGGTGAATAAATCAAATTCCGCACCACAAAGTTTCAACATCTGCATCTCTTTACGCTTTGTCATGGCGACTTCCCGTCTTTTCATCGAAATCCTTGAGCCGTGACCTTCACCTGTGGGCACCGATTGTGTGCCAAGACGTTCACAGAAGTGTGTGTTTTTGAAAGAGGCAGTACGTAAAAAAAAAAAACTGGTCCTTTTTTTTTTTAACAGTCTGACTTCACATGATTCAATAAAAACCTCCTCGTTACATTTATGCTACGTCTCGATCCGCTGAACTCTCTTCCTGCCCTCAGTCCCTGTTATTTTCTTTGTCTTCTTGTTTTTAACCATGAAAGACCATTTGTGTGTGTACACAGTGTTCATTCACAAGCCTATGAAAACAGGCCTTAACGGGGGGAAAGCAGCATTTTACCGTCTCCCTTTTGATTTACCCTTTGACTGTTAAAGGTTGTTTGAACAGGAAGGGCCCCACGCAGGAAAGGAGGGACTTTCCATGAAGTCACTGCTACGCAAACTGTCACCTTTTACTCTTTTTTTTTTGTCATTCTTCTCATAATGTCCCTCCGTTCTCTTAATAATTTGTTCCCCTTTCCTGCTTTATCTGTCTTTTTTTGTGAGCTTTGTCGAAGGCCGTTGAGTCACAACGAAATGGGATCGTCTCTGAAGTTCATACGGTTTTAAAAACACAGCTGGGTGGGACTGCGATGGCCTTGGGTTCGTCATCTGTGTATAACAAGTGGAGCTATTGTCCGTCTAGAAAGATGAGGTGTGTTGGTGGTTATGAGGGTGCTGTGTACTCTCTGGGGTCTGGTTTCTATTTGCTTTCAAGCTGGTGTGTTTACGTGAGTGTTGATGTGAGTTTATTGGGCAAAATATGCATCTTTTGGATCATTTTCTTTTATTATTATGAGGAAAGAGATGTTCCAGTGCAGTGAAATGTGAGAAAGTGCAATTGAAATGTTGTTCCAAGACTCATGTTCCTTGATTTCCAGGATGACGATCTGCCTTATTAAAAAAATGTATTGGCAACAGGATAAAATTCTTTTGCTACACGGTCAGATTTTCCCTGCATTTTAAGACATTTTTTCTTAATTCCAGTATGATAATTTGCCTTATTCTTAAAAATGTCATCTGAAAAACTGATTCAGTGGGAACTGGATGGAATATTTTTGATACAGAATCTGATTTTATCTACGTTTTAAGATATTTTTTCTTGATTCCAGGATGATGATCTGCCTTAATCTGAAAAATTTCTTTTGAAAAACATATTTGATGGAAACAGGATTTAATTATTTTACTACAGGGGCAGGTGTTTTTTGCATTTTAAGATTTTTTATTTTATTTTTTT